CTGTCAAAAATTGTCTAACTCTTCAGCTATTATAGCTATAATCAGCCATTATTTTTCTAAATGTTGCTATTTGATTTCAGTTACATTTGAATATGAGAGCCGAATGCATAAAATTTAAAAGATTTGCATAAAATGTATATATACACACACACACACATGCACAAACAGAATAAAGTGAGCACAACAACTTCTCATAATTTCATAAATGTAATATTTTTTTTTTTTACAACTATAAAAAAGTATATTTGTGTGAAGTGTTGGTGTTCGAAGGCAGTTGTGTATTTGTACGTACTGTTGACATTTGAATGCAGCAGTGTGTTTGTATGTAGTGTGTGCATTTGAATGCAGGGGTGTGTTTATAGTAATGGTCTTTGAATGCAGGGATGTGTTTACATAGGGTGTATTTGTGTTCGGTGTTGATGCTTCAATGCAGAGATGTATTTGTGTGCAATGTTGGTGTTTCAATACTGAGGTATATTTGTGTACATTGCTAGTGTTTCAATACAGAGGTATGTTTGTGTGCATTGTGATATTTGAATGCTGGGGCGTATTTGTGTGCTGTGTTGGCATTTGAATGTTGGGATGTATGCACTGCTACACACAGATACACACCACGCACACTGACACACTGACACAGATATGCCCACACTCAGTTACATCCAAACATAGGTAGACATACAAACTGACACACAGATACACAGGTACACATATACACACTAACATAAGTAACAATGAGCATAGCCTTAGCCATAGTTTTTAGCTTTCCTCTCTCCTTCTGTGTATGTGGCTGCTACTGCCTCCCTGCACGTCTCTCAGCAAGTTTGGAGGAAGTACCCTGAACTCACTTCATCGCACCATGCTGCCGAGGGAACTAACACTGTGACAGGGGCCCAGTCTAGTGCACTGTTAAAGGGTGATCTGGCCCCTGATCTAAGACCCCTTGCTTAGATGGACAGTTATTCATTTTATATCATATAATGAGGTTAACTAATCAAATGCAATGCCAGTCAAGAGATTACTGAGAAAAAAAGCATTTTCTCAAACGGTCTTATCCACTTTTAACCCCTTAAGGACACATGACATGTGTGACATGTCATGATTCCCTTTTATTCCAGAAGTTTGGTCCTTAAGGGGTTAAATAACCTTGGCACTGTCTATCACAGTTAATGTAGTCACCCATCTGAAATTTCTAAATTAAGGAATTGCATCCCTAACTTCTCCTAAGTTTCAGATCAACTGAGAAGGAAATATATATCCTCTCCTTGGAATAAAAAGAAGTTTAGACTACTATTTTATCTTATGATGCAATATTGAACACATTTGTTTCATGTCTTTCCTCTGCAGAAGTGAAGTTCAATCAATATTCTTTAACATACAGTGCATTCCATTTTACACTAACTAGGAAAAGATGGAGGTTATTAACATGTGTGTCAAGAACCTTTTTTTCATATGTCTGCCATGTCATATTGATATCATAATCACAGTGCTGTTTAAACCCTGGAGTGCCACAGTCAGCACCAAACCTGCTTTTTCACTTACTGCTAATCGGGAAACACTTCAATCTAACCATGTGTTTACTGTAAGCAACTAGGTTTGACCTGTTAACTCACTTAAAACATAAGTCATTGAATGCCCATTGAACTAATAATCTTTAACTTCTAAAACAAATACATAACTTGAATATATTACATTCACACTAAAAACATATTTTGGATTATATCTTTTTTTTTTTTTCTTTACAATTATTGTGGATGCTTTCTGTCTGAGAACAGACTTAAAAAAGTTTTACATATGCAGTCCCCTCGGCACATGCATTTTGGAAAAATATGATGCTTAAAGCACACATTTTAATTCTTAGTGCATCTACAGCGCTCCGCACAAAAATACGGAAAATTACATTTTAATCAACCATTCATCATAAAGAATTTAAATTAAGAATTGAATTAGTAATAGTTCAAAACTTTAGAGGAATTATTCTTAAAGTTCGATATCCTCAGGCTTATGTGAAATAACGAGTTAGATATACAAAACATAGCCAATTAATATTTTCCGTACACGTTGTACAGCTTATTAGTTAGCATGACACTCCTTGAATACCACAAGCTTCATTTATATAAAGACACACACTCATTGTTAATTTTATCATGCTCCTAAAAAGTTCCAAAATGTTTCTGCTGTAGACTAGATTAGATTGAATTCACAAGTCATTATAATAAAAGTTTAAACTGCAATAGTGATCAAATGTCAACATGTGATGCAATGCTATGATGTGATGTTATACTACTTCCTAACTCTTTACCTGTTACCATGTCATAAACTTTATGAAAACCACAAATAAAGAATTAAAAAAAAAACTGCAATGGTGATATTCTTCAGGTATCCTCATTTTCTGATTTATGTATTGTAAAAAGCACTGGGTAACATATGTGATTCAGCTTAATTTCCCACTAAATTTAGGTCATTCCCATACTCAAAAAATAGATATGTTTGTTCAGTGTTTTTTTTTTTTCTATTAGTACACTGATGTATATGAATTTATTTGAGTTTGCATCACGCTGTTAGAATGTTAGTTCACATATATTTAGTTATGAACTTGATGCTGCTTGAAAACCAAAGGAAGCAGTGCGAGCTGAATCTTATGCTGCACATTAAAATGGTATGATAAGAGAGAAGCAGATATAACATTTGTCATGGCAAAGATCAATAATGGCAACTATCAGGAGTGGTATATACAAAGACTGGTCTGATACAACTCCGCAGCTGGAAGAGAAAGAACAAAAAATCAAATGCAATTACATGTCTGCTAGCAGAAGATGATTAATTCATTAGAGAAACAAACACACACCTTTAACCCCTTAAGGACCGGACTGTTCTGGCCATGTTGTACATTAAGGACCAGGGCTGTTTGAACACTTTTGTGGTGTTTGTGTTTAGCTGTAATTTTTTTCTCTCTCATCAGGACAAGAAGGGCTTTCTTTACATACCATTATTTGTATCATGTCATATAATTTACTTTAAAAAAATAAATAAAATATGGTGAAAAATTTAAAAGAAAACATGTTTTTTGACTTTTACTTGAAAAATCCTTTACTTATCTACAAAAGCTAATGAAAAAAACTGCAAAATAGATTCCAAATTTTGTCATGAGTTTAAAAACACCCAGTGTTTACGTGCTCCTTTTTTTTTTTTTTGCAAGTTATAGGGCTATAAGTAAATGTAGGAAATTGCGGTTTCAAAATATTTTTTAAATATTTTGAAAATTTATTAATAGTGACATTGTAACACTGTTATGTGTCATAAATCTCTAAATCACACCCACATGTACATATTTTTTTTTTAAAGTAGACAACCCAGGGTATTCAATATGAGGTATGTCCAGTTTGTCTTTTTTTTAGTAGCCACTAAGTCACAAACACTGGCCAAAGTTAGCATTTATATTTTTTTGTGTGTTAAAAATGCAAAACACAATTATGAACGCTAACTTTGGCCAGTGTTTGTGACTAAGTGGCTACTAAAAAAGACTGGACATACTCCATTTGCGATTTGTCTTCTTTTGCAAGTGGTATGCCATCATGGGGTAATTCTCGTTCCTGGGTTACCATACGCTATCAAAGGCAACATAACCAACCAGGCAAATTTCAATGAAAAATAAGGAAAATCAAGCCCTATATTTGACCCAGTAACTTTCAAAAACACTATAAAACCTGTGCATGAGGGGTACTGTTATACTCGGAAGACTTCGCAGGGCAGCCAATCAACAAGCGTTTGACTTGTGTGCCCTTAGAAGCCATCACAGTCATGCCTACTAATGGCATGGCTGTGATTGGCCAGTGCAGCATGTGACCCAGCCTCTATATATAAGCTGGAGTCGCGTAGCGCCGCACGCACATGCAGTCTTATTAGTTTAGGGAGAGGATGCTGCCGCTGATAGGGACAGCTTAGGAAAGAATTCTGCAAATGAGTACATTAATGGGGTGGGGTGCACTTCATATCTGAGAGTCAAATAAAAGCTTCAAATACCGCGGTTACATCTGAGTTTTAAAAAGTCTATATGTTTTGGTGCTAAATAGTACATTAGTGGGATAGTACATTAGTGGGGTGCACTTCATATCTGAGAGTCAAATAGAAGCGTTAAATACTGCTGTCACATTGCAGTTTTAAAACTTAAAATTATTTGGGTGCTAAACTACTAAATAGTATTTTAGTGGGGTGCACTTCATATGTGAGAGTCAAATAGAAGCGTCTAATAGTGTGCTTACAGCGCAGTGGTAAAAATTCTAATTTTCTGGGTGCTATTCTGCTGAATAGTACATTTTGGGGCGTGCACTTTATATCTGAGAGTCAAATCGGAGCGTCTAATAGTGTGCTTACAGCGCAGTGGTAAAAATTCAAATTTTCTGGGTGCTAATCTGCTAAATAGTACATTTTGGGGCGTGCACTTCATAACGATCCATTCGTAGTTTCACAGTCAGATGGGCAGTCCAGTGACCAGGACCCAGACACTGTCTTGGTGGCGGTCGGACGACCGGGACCCAGTATGCCGAATGTTGAAGTTAGGAGTCACAGTGTGGAATGGATTAGCAGGGTCTGGTGCAGGGTAACCCGACGCCCCCTGGTGTTGAGCACCAGTGTTTGTGCGGCCACATACCAGGACCCTGATGCAGCTTCAGTAAAAAGAGTACTGGATGCCAGAAGCCATCACCAGACTGATCCGCAACTTGGAACAGGATGTGAGATTCACTGTAGTGGCTGTGCACGCTTTTGGCATTGTCACCCTGCTGCTACTCGCCTGTCTGCGCTGCAGCGTAACTTCGGCCTTCCCACTCACCGCCTCATGAGACTGTGCGAGCAGCAGTAGGCGATAGTGGAGTTTCAGCTGCAGCACTCACAGGTCAGTGGCTCTGCACCAGACTTCCCATCAATTGATCAGAGTTAAAGGATTTCAAGTGGACTCATTATAATTATAGGGCCTCTAAAGAGTCCTGTATTGTTATTTGTCGTCACTACCTTCCCGCGTTGGGAGTGGGTAATTTGCGCGCCTGCTGCCTTCTTTGCACGTGGTAGCCGTTTCTAAGGGTCCCTGAACGGAGTGGAACCCTGATTCCCCGTTACCCGGGGTCACCATGGTAGGCGCAGAAACTGGCATCAAAAGTTGATATGGATGACATCCACATGCAAAGTCACCACCACGGGGATGTGCGATTGGCCCAAGGTTCTCTAGAGTCAACAAAGTGCCTGCGCAACTATAATGTCAACAGCTACTCTGCGGAACAGAGTTGTCTTTTTTTATATGTCCTAATATTTTGGGGGCTACCCCAATTAAAAAAAAACAAATATATATATATATATATATATATATAAAAATAAAGTGTTGGCTACCTCATCCTCCTCCTCCACCGGCACGGTCACCGCCTCCTCAACCTATGGGTCACTAAGTATAAACTATATACACATTAGCAGAGACTTGTGAAGGCCTTTTCTCCATGCATCAGGAGTTGAGCATTTCTCCATGCATCAGGACTGCAAGAAATGTACCGCATGCCGCAAATGTTTCTTTTTTTGTATGTCCCAATATTTTGGGGGCTACCCCAATTAAAATAAAAAACAGATATATATAAACAGTGTTGACTACCTCCTCCTCCTCCACCGCTGCTTCCACCTACACCGCCACCGTCACCACCTCCTCATCCTATGGGTCACGTAGTATAAACTATGTACACAATAGCAGAGGCTTGTGAAGGCCTTTTCTCCATGCATCAGGAGTTGAGCTCAGTTTGAACAATGAAATACCCTGCACTCCAACCCTCTCTCAAATGGATAATTCTGGTGATCCTCCTGACAGCCATGCTTTAGATTTTGATTTATGTTCTTCCAAAGCTAAAATCAAAGATTCCATCTAGTGCTATTTTACGGCTCAGCTGTATTTTTAATTTGTATGTTATTTTAAGTGATTTACCTATCCACATTTGTTTGCAGGGCACTTGTCCTACTCTTACCCACATTTTACTTGCTTTTGCTTGCTACTTGCTTTTGCCGCCGGACCCGAACATCCAGGTGACCGCTCAACTCTACTACCGAGTAAAACACTATGTACATGTACAGGTGTTAGGTTGTCGTGTAAAATTACAGGGTTAAATACAGTGTTAGCAAATTAAATTCTCTGGACTTTCAGCCTAGGTTGTGAGGCAGGTCCCTCAAATTATAAAACAATAAAATTACTTAATTATGTAAAAATATTACATAAATATGCACGTAGAATTTAAATATATATACATTACTGAGTAACCTCAATTCCCTACATACCACTTATACCAAAGAAATTTCTAATAAGAGCTGTCAAGCCTCATAATGATTTCTAATCCTGCATAGACAGGACACCTCATCCATGATAAGTAAATAAAGAGCCTAAAAATCCCATTCCTTGTGCTCCCCCAAAAAATATATTGTTAAAACAAGCTAAACTGAATCACATTGAAACTAACTACAAACTAACATAAAGTAATATAAAAACGCCCGACGTGCGTTTCGGCGCTAAAATACTGCGCCTTCATTTGGGGCTAGAAAGGACGCCAGTGAAACTACCAAATTTCGCCCTAACAGAATGAGAACAGTTTGTTCATTCATGTTAGGACGACATTCGGTTCTTTTAATTCGGTTGGAAGTTTCATTCAAATGAACCGTGCTGTGGCTGCATTTTAGTAGATAGCTCCCTAATTCCCATGGTATCAGGGAGCTATCTACCAAAAGGCTGAAAGACCAATATTGGTCTTTCAACCAACTTTACTAATACTAAGTAAAAATTATTTAGTATTAGTTATTAATCTGCCCCTACTCGCCTATTGTCCTCCCCATGGCCCCCACCCATGAGCAGCGAGTGGCGGCCCTAAATTACAATAAGGGGGGACCTATTGTCCCCTTTGGCTCCTACCCATGAGTTGAGGGTGGGGGCCCTAAAAGACAATAGGGAGGACCTATCTTCCTCCCAAGACCTCACCAATAGGTGACAAGTAGGGGCTAAATAAAAAAATACCCCCCCAGGTAACTAGGGGTCCTCAAGCCACTAGTCACCCCCCCACCCAAAAAAAATAAAGTAAAGCCCTATCTACCTCCTCACCCTAAAAATTGTGAACAATAAAACTAAATATCTGTAAGTGAGCCTTACAGGTAAGCAATCAGGGGCATGCAGGAGAATTTAACCTCCCTTTTACTAATATGGGGGTCATAGTGAGCCCCATAGGTTTTAATTTAGGTGGGTGTGAGAATTTTTAATATTTATTACAAGGAGGGAGCTGGTAGCGCTGCCGTCTCCCTCTTTTTTTGCGAATAGCAGTGTTATTCTTGTCCTAATGGACGAAAACGAATTAATTTTACAGAATTTCATCCGAAAAATTAATGTTTTATGGACAAAATTCAGAACGGACAAATTACATTTTTATTTAGTACGAATTCATTCGTACGAAACAAAAATTTCACTGGTGAACATGTCTACCGTCTGCTTTCAAACACTGTCTGACCAAAAGTGCAAGTATGTGGCTAAAGTATCCTGTCATATACTAAAGGTATGGATTCATTTTTCTAATTCTTATACAAATACATGATTTGAAAAAAAATCTACCTCCTTTCAAAAGTTGATAAAACGTCATCACAAAAAGTACTCTCTATGTCGTCTTATGTATAACTAAAAACTAAAGTGAATTAACACTCTGGGCAGCAACTCAGCTTCATAGAATTTGGCCTCATTAATATATACTGTATTTTTGCATGCTCAAATCTTTATAATGTTCTACTGTTTTGCAGAATGTTGCACCATAAGTCCAACTTCTTAGACACGCCCCCTTATTCCCACAAAAAGGACTTCCTTATAAAATGTATGCACACAGCTCAGCCACTGACAGCATTGAGTGAGCTAAACATTTATTTGGGTGCAAAAACAAAAAAGATTTGAGTAGGCAAAAAAAATAAAAATAGTTGCATATTAACAAGGCCAAATTCCATCAAATGCTGTAAAGTTGTATTGGTGCCAACAGTGTCCCTGTAATTTTAAAAGAACGTGCAAAGTGACAGAGCCACTTTAATGAAATGCTCAAATTAGACTGGAGGTTCTAGGTAATAAACACACGTTTTGAATTTCAATATTTAATTTATATAATTGTAGAAATCTATTGCTGCATAGTATACTACGGAATTCCTTGCAAATGAAGCTTGATGAGGTTTGTGCTATACACTTCCTAACAAAAATGTCAACTTGCTATAAGGTGCTGTATGCCCCTTTAGATCTCCTCCGTTATATGAACAAATTTTAGAAATAATGTTTTGACAGACCCGGATTATCCTGAATTTTAGTACACCAATCTATTCCAGTTAAGTAAGGAGATTAGCTAGTCTCACAAAATATTATCACTTGTAAAGTTACATAAAACATTAGCATGGCTGCCAAATCGGTAATATGAGGTGCTTTAATTTTTCTATCAAAACACTTTTTTAGAATACATTGTTAGAATAATTTGCATTCTTCCATGGTTTCTGTAGACATCTGAAGAACCTGGGAGACTACAGCGCCAGCCAAGGAATGTTATGAAAGATTAATTCTCAGTAAATATGTTGCTTCTTAATTAGACAGTATACACTGTTGACCTGATGCTTATGCAAATGAAAAGAATGGAAATGTTAACGAGCTGATATGGAACTTTTTTTCTATGAATGTTGTTAAATATTTAACTATTGCCTTTTTATATTTGTAGTCATTTCCCTGAAAATACTATTTCCATAACAATTAATTCTAATTTTACATTCACTGCCAATCATATGAAGAAAAGTTCAATGTTACGTTGGTGTTAGATTAATGTCTTCAAAAAGAATTTGTTTATGTGTATGCAGGCTAAAGCATTAGTGAACACAATAGTACATACAATTAACATATCAAGTGTTTCCAGCTGTATAATGAGTGAGCAATATAGGAAATATATTTAGTGAAATATAAAAATGCACCAAGACATATTAATTGTATACTTTGTTAATTTAAAAGAACAGTACATACTCATCACAATACTTCAGACTATAAACTTATATTGAAGAGGGTTCTGTTCAGAACTTTCATATCATTTGATCTCAAAGGTTTACAGGACAAGTAAATCATGAATAAATAAATGGAAATATGAATGTAAAGACGTATCTACTCTCTTCATAACAAAAAAAGGTACAGATATATGACAGGTAAATATTGTGTTCAAATTCCAATATATTTCTTATGGGAATAGCAATAAACACAAACAGATATCTAATGAAGTAGCAAATATGGAGAATCTATACAATCGAAACTTTGGAAACCTAGTGATTTAGCAGTTAAGGGAAGATTGGGAATTCTAGATAAAGAGAAAAGAAATGAAAAGAACACAACCACAGTAATGTAAATATACACATATACAGTTTTCATTTCTCATGTGAGATATCTGGAAAGAGCTGTACATTGACAAAAGCAGCTTTCAGTGGTTACATTGTATCTCACTGAGGAAGAGAAGGGCACTGCCAATTGATAATTAAACTAGCTAGCTCCATATTCCTCCTAAGATGAAAACGCATCAGCAATCAGAGTCTCTACCAGCATCATCTCCATCCTGCACCCTTTGAACCCATCACGGTTACAAGGCAGCCAAAAGCTTAGAGGAACAGACAAAAGCTTAGAGGAACTCTGTAGCTTGCCCTACTGTAACTGTCGCTCACTCAGGTCTCAAAATAGTTTTTTCTCACTTGTGGCATTAAATAGAGTACATATTCAAAGGCATATCAGACTGATCCCACCCATAAGAGCTATCCAGAACTAAAATGCCAGGAAGTTCTCTCTGCACAATAGATACAGCAACCCCAGACTATCGTTTTGGCCTTCTTTAGGCATTGTCGGTAAAGTGTAGCTGATATCCCTCTAGGCATGCCTCGATTGCCTTTTAACCCCTTCAGGATGGAGTCAATAGTGCACGTTCTGATCAAAACAAAACGTAAACAAAAACTGGAATTTGCGCTATATGTCTGTTCAACCGTAATTCACCGCTGTCACATTAAGTGCACCCACACTTATTATATATCATTTTGTTCAGGAGAAAAAGGTCTTTGTCATTAACTAGTCATATATGGAACATAATTTATTATGAATAAAATGTAAAAAAATGTGAGAAAATAAGATTTTTTTTTTTAAATTTGTATTTCCGTCTGACATTTTAGCTGTGAATGTCATAATACTGTTATGTTTTACTGCAGAAAAAATGCACATATTTGTAATCAGCGATGTCTCACGAGTACAACAGTACCC